GTCGAATAAAATAATAAAACATGCACTCAACTCCGCGACGTCATCATTATCCTTTATTTTTGTTTTAATTTTACGAATGTTCTGGGTATATGGTTGCATGCTCGCGAATTTACTGGATCAGTGCCGAACAAATCCTGGTGCGTCTACCATTCGTGTATACAAAATGCATCACACGAGGCATTCGGTTCGATACTGGTATCGAACTGGTATCGAAAGGAGTATCGTAACCAAAGTATCGATACCGGTATCGAAAGGGTATCGGAACGAAAGTATCGATACCGACATCGGGAAGAGTACATAACAAAAAAAAAGGTCATAGGGTACGCCGACATATCATACCATAAAGTGATCCTACAATATACTTTTTGTTCGTATTGTAAAGTCAAAACTAGTAAAATATTGAAACGAAAGTAGTAGTATCGAAACAAAAGTAGTACTCATATGAGTAAAGTATCGAAAGCAAAGTATCGGGTACTAAATTACCCGGTATCGAAAGAAAAGTATCGATACCAGTATCATATCAGTAGTATCGCAACATCCTTAGGCTTGCCTCATACGCGTACGTGCTCAGATCTGTACCCGCCTTTTTATAATAGTGATGGGTCGCTTGAAAAAGTCCACATAAAAAGTACAAATACACTTTTCAAAAGTGGAAAAGTGTAATGCGCATGCGCGAAATTAAATTAACTAATTTGTTTGAATTTCTTACAAAGGCAATTATAGTTTAAAAAAGAAGAAATAAAATATTACTGACTTTTATGTTTTAATTCTAAAATAAAACCGTAAAAAAATAGCAAAAAATCGAAAGGTTGGGAGTATTTTACAAATGATTTGTAAAAAATCTAAAATACAAATGGAAATATTGTTCTCAAAGTGTTTTTGAAGAAACATCCAGGATGGAGAAGTATTTAACTGCCCAGTAAACCACAAATAATCGGCATTCGCTCGGCCTGACACGGACATGTACGGGAAGCCGAGTACTGGGATTGTCGTTATCGGGGTTACTTCTGAGCCGAGAGTACCGTACCATTTGACGTAATTTAGAAATAGAAACAGCATGTGGTCCATATTTGGCCTTGCAGATATGGGTGGCATCCTTACGGGCCGAACGCGGTGAATATTTGGCTAGCCGGGTATGGGAGGCATCCTTACGGACCGAACTATATATAGATATGAACGCGGCTACAAAGTAGTGGGCGACCGACATTCGGCTGGGCGGGCATGCCGAAGTTGCACCCGTATATCGGGCCGAGTCAGGTATCGGGCACCAGATATTTTTTTCTTAACCATCCTCCCGAGTCCTATTCTACCACTTGCAGAGTCCTCCCGTTTGCCGAGTCCTCACTTGCAACGTTTGCGCGTACCTATCTTTGATTTTATTGCAAGTGATCGTTAGTCGCTTTCTTTTTACTACTAATCTAAGCTAACTTACATCGACTAAGCTTAGTTGTACGTTCTTTTTGTGATTGCAAGTCAGAATCTTCCTTCCCTCCTTACCGATGCTAAGGTACTGGGATCTTGACGTCGACCATAAACCAAAACAGAAAGTGAGTGTGAGCAAATATATCCTATGAATTCATTATTTTAGAGAGAGTAAAAGACTGATAACAGGGGGCAAGATCGTGGTGTTGAATGTTAAAGAAATTATAAAATTTGATAAAAATGTTAATTGTTTTTGAACTGATGACATGGGACACATTGTCTGTCAACTAAAATTTCCATTCTGTTTACAATTTAGCTTAGATCAGAATCTAACTTTTAGTTAATCAAGTATACCTGTAAAAAGAGAACGACTATTGTATGTTGTTATATTTCTTATTATTAGGCATTCCAAACAAAATGTCTACCAGTGGGTTATGACATGTTATGATATGGCAACCCTGCTGTAGGCCTGGTGATTTGACAGGATCAATAAAATAGATAGTTATATAGATTGATCATCCATGTTTTTCAAAATAGACATAAGCTTATGCTTCAAAGTAAAAATGTAGGTATTTATTTTTTTTACTATATTATTCAAAGGCTGAAAATTGGTTTGTAAACACATTTTTGGTAAACTGATTCTGATTATTGAGCACTTGCGAGGCAATAATATGGTCACTCGCAAACGACTCGCTTTGAACAATCTATATAACTATGTATGTATCATTGACCCTGTCGATGACAACGCGTTCCTAGTGTTGTCATACCTAAACTGTCAGTTTCAACTTGTCAGCATTTTGACAGGTCGTTGGAATGCCTAATTGTACCTCGTGTTAATCTGTAACCTCGTTCCAGTTGGAAATAGGTTATGTTAAAAATGCAGGAAGATGATATAATAATAATAATAATATTTATTCAAGAAAAATATAAATAAATAGGAATAATTGCAAGTATAAATACAAAGTTAAATTATACAAATGAAATAAGTAGTACCTACAAATAGAGAATCAATTAGACATTGATAACCACATACTTTGATTTTCTCTTACTATACGGAGAATGGTCGCACTGCGCAGCTTTATGAGTGCCTTTTAAAAGGAGATAGAAAACTCCGCCATTTTGATGCCTTATTACGTGTTGCCTATATCTTGACGCGATATTTTAATAGGTGCGTTTTAATCATTCGCTTCTGCTTCGGAATTGTCGGTTTTCTTGTTTTAATCTGACAGGTTAAAACGACTACCTGATATTTTGCTTGCTGCTGTCAGTGTCAGTAAATATTATTTTTGGAGTCACAGTCTATAGCTAAAGAATCAGTTCCAAAATAACATCCACTCCAGGGATACAAATTCAGGATGCGCAGAAGACTGCTGTTTTATTATAGGCGGTTGTCATATATTGTTTTATCCGAGTTGCGCAGTGTATAAACTGGAACATTGAGTTCAAAAGTGCCGACGCAGAGTGAACGAACTGATTGTTTGCTATAAACTGTGGCAACAGCATCTAAATGGCCGCGCCCTATATTAGGCGTGTCGTACCTCTCTCTTGCACCGTATAGTAATCAAAAAGTATGTGTTGATAACTCACTGAGACATTAAAATACCTGTGTGCAAGCTATGTAATATAAGTAGAATACGATATAGAATGATAAATAAATAAATAAATAAATAAATAAATAAATAAATACAAAACACAAAAAGTATCTTCGTTTTTCACTTTTATAAGCTAGATACGTACAAATATATTTATAACTAAAAAATGTAGCTTTATAGGTACAGCGGAATTTGAAAAAAAAAAAAAATAATTAAATATTAAGAAGAACCCATTCTATAGACATTTCTAAAAAAAAATGCTGATAACCGAATATTTTCTAAGAGAAGTTGCAAGATTTTGATGTTCCCAACCTAACATTTTATGATTTTCTTACAGTTTTGCGAAGAGTATGTTTAGTATGCCCATATCTTTGGCACCGTTTGCATTGGGGTATCAATTTTGGGCTTCTCACTGGCTCAATTTAAATTATTAGGTTTTGTAATGTCTTAATATCATAAATCCTTTTAATGTCTTCACTGTTTTCAAATGTATGAATAGCGACAATGGCTTTTTTATAGCAGTTCTTATAACTTGATATAATTATTTAATAAGAATTAAATTAAAAACAAAAAACCATCATAACGTCGAATATTGCACAAACGAAATTTCCTAAGTTTGATTTTTTTACCATATGGCAGTTGAAATTAATTAAGACCCACCCAAGACACTAAGCATATAAGTAATTTCCATTTTTAGCTATGACTACTTAATTTTTAAACACCTTCAAAAAACCATATTTTTAATTTAAAATGACCAATAAATGTATATAAATGATTGTATTATATGGCGATAAATGTGCTGGCGGTAAATTGCTTCGGCGATCAATTGCTACGGCGGTAAACTGCTTGCGGTCAATTCCAGGCGATCAATTTTCCAAATTCCCTAGTTACCAGGTCCCAGACAACATGAGTGTAATGAAGAGGGTAATTTACTAACCCGAGAAGGAGCTTCAAAGGGCCCAGAGCCCGTCTGTGGTGTCACAAAGACAGCTATCAGAACATGCACAAAGCAGTGGATATTAAAGAGTCACAGACATGGTGAAACAATTCATCAGGACAGATACAGGTCAAAGAATTCTTAAAAAGACCATCGTTAAAACTCATCGAGCATCTAGTAAGCCATAATAGGAAAAATACTAGAGTACTAGCAAGCCTATTAACAGGACATTGTCGGCTTAACAAACGTATGTATAACAACGGCTTGGCAGAAGAAACCTTATGGTGATTTTGTCAGAAAGAGGAGAAAACTGCAGTACACGTATTGCAATACTCCAAAGGTTCCTTATACTTGGAGAAGAAAAACCAAGGACAACGATCTACGCCGGAGAGCTACTTCATAGGCTATGGAGTCTACTACAAAAGTCCAAACTAGACAAGGTACTCTTACCAATGATTAAAGGATATCCATAATAGATCTTAAAGGTCGAGGTGATGGAGGATATAATGGTCCTTTAAAAAATCTATTTTGTCAATATCTATTGTGTAACTTCTTATTTAGCATGTAATATTTTGTTTTAACTTATTTATTGATTAATAATTTGAATCGACAAAAAACAACAAAGTTAATTAGTCCAAATTTTTCATTAGTGTTTGACTGTTATTGTAAATCATACATTTAATATTCATATATTCTAAATAAATTATAATTTTAACCATTTTTCAACTGAACACACTGAAACAAAAAATTGAAAAACGCCAAGACAATAATACACAGTTTTATACTATTTTAACCTTATCAGACGCGTTTTTATCACAAAACACTTTTGTTTTTTTTAATCGCCCACCATTTAAAGTCACGTGATTTAGATTGCCTAGTTGCAAGAAAAAGTGCAACAGCTGATCGAAAATAGTTTAGTGCGCAGGCATTTATTACGAATTGCCAAAATTTTACTCGAAATCAAGGAACATTCAAATTTGTAAAATAACTCTTATTTTGTGTTTTTTTTGCGAACAAAAATTTATCAATATATTTATTTATTTTCTTACCCAGTAAATCCGTATTTAGGTTTAGGTCCGATGTTATCGTGAAAAATGGACTTCTCGCTTTCACTGAAGCAAGTACCGACGTAAACACCAGTGTTGGTCCCCTCGAAATCGGCCAGAGTTAGACCAGCGTCAAAGATGGCTTCCACAACTTTTTCTAAAAGAATTCTTCCCATCGTATCTTGAGCTTCGGCTTGGCTAGAATGTACGCCTGAAATATAACGCTATTAAATGAAAAATTATTAAATTAAAAAAAAAGTAGTTACCAAAGAAACCAGCGTCATACTTGGAACATTCCGGTAGGGTTCCGGAACATCTTGGTATTTCTGGATGGGAATAGTCCCAGCGTCTGTTGGGCAATACCATGTTGATTTTGTTGAACAAGTTGTATTGGAAATGGTATACATCGTTGGAATTTGGGAAAGTTCCTGCCAGGCCTGAATAAGAACATGGATTTTATGAAATAATATATAGTATTGATTTAAATTGATAATTTGCTTCGAAAATCGTGTATGCTAAGAGCCGGCCGTATAAAATCGAATGGGGGTATTATCCACCTGAAGCAATGAAAGACTAAGTGGTAAATCTATACGTCCATACAAACTTATAATGTGAAAATTTAAAAACCCTGGAAACACGTCATTATTTATTTATTTATTTATTTATTTCAGACTATGATCTAGTTTTGTGCCAAATTACATCCAAATCCGTTCAGCTGGTTCTGGCGTGATTGAGCAACAAACATCCATCCATACATCCAAAGTTTATCATTTACTCGTATATAGTAGTAGGATTTAATACTAAAATAAAATACATAAGAAAAAATTGAGGAAATTGAACTAAAAATGACAGGAAGACAACTCTTCTTTAAAATCTCCAAAAATTGAAAAACAATTGAAGGATTCGGTGCAAAAACCGGTCAACTTCATTTTTCACCCAAATTTAGTTATTTTATAAATCTTATAGAACAAATATTTGCGCATCTTTTGATGCAAGAATCAGCCATCTCCAACAAATATAAACGTAGATACATAGGCCACGGAGTTGACTGCTTCAATACTTAGGTGCAAGAATCAGTGAACTCCAGGAGATGAATACCACCAATGAATGCCAATATTGGCAACATCCGAAAATCAGGCCATGGGCGACCACAACGGCAAGTGAAACAGCATTCCAGTAGTTGTTTTTCGTTGCAGTAATCGTTCATTAATGCTTGCAGTAGTGCCTAAGTACTAATAACGAGTAAAAATAAGATCGTTTCATTATGAGTAGTAGCTCTAGTAGTGAGATTAGTGAGGAAGACCCATATGCAGATTCTGGGACTGACTACGTGTTATTATCTGAGTCCTCTGAGCCTGATGTTCCGGTTCCTAGTCGACGGCGACCAAAGCATTTTGTTATTGTTAAAAAGGATATACGTGTAAATAATGAACAACAAGAAAGGTCTATGCGTATTAATACAGGAACTTTAAACATTCAAGCCGTTAAGAAAAAAAGGCAAGAAACGGGTAAGGATTGAAAGCAAATGGAAACGAAATGTTGTGAAAAGTAAGAAGGCTAGAAGTGAAGAATATATTAATTGGGTAAATAAACTAATTCCAAAAAGAAGTACAGGACCAAATTGCAGCTGTAGAAAAAGATGTTTTACAAAAATAGATGATATCCAAAAAAATAATATACTTCAGCAGTTTTATAGTACGGAGATAAAACTAAACAAGTCATTTATCTAGGAGGATTAATCAGTGTGCAGAGAAAACGTCCAACTACAGGAGAGGAGAGAGAAAAAAACAGCAGCTATAAGGTAAAATTTTTATGGCAAAATATAATAGTTGGCCCAAAAATGTTTTTCTTTTGTAGGTGCTTGTAGTAAGCCAGGAATCCATAGTGTGCAAAAATGCACTCTGCTCTTTGCACAGAGTATCAAAACAGAGAGTATCTCAGATTGACCTAAATCTGACCCAGCGTAGTATTATGTCACTTTACAATAAGCGTGGGCAGCATTCCAATACCCTAAAGAAATAATAGCGCAAATAGAGGAACATATACGAAGTTTTCCCAGAAGAATATACCATTACAGTAGAGAAAATATTCAAAAAAGATATTTTTTATCCCCTGAGTTGAACATTGCAAAAATGTATTGCCTGTACCTTGAAAAATATGAGCCGGAAAAGTACGCTCTTCTAGACGATGGGAAAAATTTAAAGGACCAAACCAATAGTGGCATATGATTTTTATAACCGGTAATTTAATGTATCATAATCTTAGTTTTTGACATCCAAGGTCAGATACCTGCCAGAAATGTGATCGCCTGAACAACGCAATTGCCGCAGAAAAAATGCAGAAACTGAAAAGCGTATACATTTACAAAAAGCCGAAGTATTTTATGCGAAATTACGGAAATATACAAATCTTACCCGCGAAGATGAATCAGTTGATGTATTATGTTTTGATTACCAACAAAACTTGCCACCGCCGCTTATTCCTTCAGGCGACGCATTTTATAAAAGGCAGTTATGGAAATATAACTTTTGTATATATTCTGCCAAGAAGAAAGAGGCAACCTTTTATATGTATGATCACTGCTAAAAGGGTTGCAACGAGGTGATAAGCTTTTTAAATCATTATTTGACAAATTTTGTCTCGGAAACTGTAACTCTCTATTTATTTTCGGACAACTGCTTCTCCCAAAACAAAAATCAGATAATAGTGCAGTACTTTCACACATTCATGAATGTTTTCAATAGAAATATTCAGCAAATTATTAATCAGTTTCCAGGACCCGGTCACAGTTTTCTGCCGTGTGACCATTGCTCTGGTCTAATAGAGAAAGAAAAACGAAAAAAGAAATAGTATACTTACTTCTGAATTGAGAAATTTAGTCAAGAAAACATCAAAACAGTTTCGTGTAATAGACGTTACCCAGGATAGGTTTATCAATTTTTCGAGTAACCAACAAAAAGAAAGATTTACTATCTCCAAGTATCGTCTTTTTAAATACGAAAGGAGAAATAAAATACAGTGTGGTGCTACAGTAGATTTTACACTATATTCATCATTTGCCATTAAGAAACCTGACACAGTTTTAGTGTGGCCAAATACTAAACTGTACAACACATTTCCAAATAGCAAATGTGATGTCTTTGGCAGATCAGTATGTACCACCAATACATATGCGGTACTACGAGTAAATACGAGTTGCTAACAAGAAGAACACCTTGATGGTGATAGTGACGAAGCTGAAGAATGAAGATTATTTCTAGTTCTTTTTTTTTACATTTTCCTGTTTTTTAAAATTTAAAAAATAAAGTTATGTTTTCATTTTACAACAATTAAATGTTGAATGAAATAATGTTGCATTATTTTTATAATTTTTGGAGGTTCGGTGCAAAAAACGGTCAAGTCCAAGACTTTCAAAAATCTTATCTAAAATGTCAAAAGAAAATGTTGTAATAAGTTTGGTATTAAATCATTTTCCAACACTTACCGTTTAAAAAAAATCTAATTCAAACCAGAATAAAATTCGGCTTGCTGTTTGCCAGCACATCTTGCGCAGAAAGTGCAAAATTCAATCGCAATTCTCCATTTACCGGATGTCTATGCAACCTAGATGTCAAACGATGTTAGAGAGTTGTATCGATGAATTAACTTACCACCGCCATATATTAGTTACAGTGCCGGCTCGTGGGGGTGTTCACAGTGAGAGAATACAGGTATCAGTACAGATGTATGAAAAAAACTTTCAGTGTTTTAGAAAGTTTATAATATACCTTTCTAAAACACTGACAGTTTTTTACCTATATCTGTACCGGGATCTATATTCTGCTACTGTGAACCCCCAAAATTTTGGTCACGAGCCGTCCCTGATTAGTAATTCATAGAATTAACCAATAAATACACACTATTGATAATAAACATTTAATTTGCAATAACAAATATCGAGGTCAATAATTGAGATAAAAACCAAATTACAGATAGTTACGAAATTTGATCAAAATTGGTTCAGTAGTTTCGGAGTTTATCCCGAACATACATCGTGATACGAGATTTTTATATACGTATACAAGATATGGTTTTTTGAAGAAAATCTTGTTGTATTGAAAGTGTTGTTAAAATTAGAAGGGAGTGTAAAAATAGGACACACTAATGTTGGTTTGGCGTTTAACATTTTTTTTAATGAACCTAAATTATTATCCCCCTATCAATTTAATATGTTCGACTCTTAGACTTAAATGCTATGTGATGATAAATCTAACCAGAACATTAATATTTAAATTAAATCCTATGATTTTTACCTGAAATAACTACTTCTTCACCAGGCGGAGGATTGGCGATTAGTTTTCCTTGGATGTGGTTGTAATCCTTCTGCTCCAGGGGTTTTTTGTTATTTGAAGAATCTCGTTCTTCCTGCATCCTGAAAGTAAAATTCAGAAATAATATTATTCCATAAAATAAAGAGATCGGAGATGTAACACTGCATAAACAATGAACATTGCACATAGCGCATGTTGTCTATTCCAACCTTAAGTAACCCACCAATTAAAAATCATTGTTTCCACGATGCCGCCTGAATTGCTCCAACATTTCCACGATACAAAGACTAACGGTATGTTCCTGCGCATGCAGCTGACTGACGGTGACGTCACGTGGGACATAGAAATATAAGCATTAAATGGGACATAGTCTTTAAAATTCGATATTTTGCCAATTTTAGGTTCTATGCAGTTACTTAAGCTTTATTGGTTATTTTGTAATATATTCGTTTACAAATATGAAGGTTTAAGGTAAATAATACTTATAAAAATATTAATTTTTCTTATAAATTATAGGTATTTTGTGACAAAATCCATAACCTGGCCATAAGATAAGTAAAAGATATAGACTAAAAATAAAAGTTTGATTAAAATTTGTACTTTTTGGGCGTAGTAGTTCCCTTGCAATCTCTTTTCTTATTATGTGAAATAAAAATAAGTGTGCGGAAACAAATTATTTATTTACAAAAAGTAAGTACAGAAAAACATTACTTTTTATTTGGTAAATCTAAACATTTTTTGTCAAGTTTACTTTGAAAATACTCAATAGTATATTACATTACGAGTGTGGAAAGTGACATTTTTCACACGAGTGGGAAATATTGTCGCACGAGGCGTAAGCCGAGTGCGACTATCACACGAGTGTGGAAAATCACTTTTCACACAAGTGATGTACAATATTTTTCCTACGACCACAAAATAATTTCATCAAAAAATGTAAAACCAGATTATTATAATAATTAAAATGTATTTAAAAAAATAATCAACAATAATCGTATTTATTAAATTTTCATAATTTCTAAACAAATAAAAAAAAATAAAAAAAAAATAAAAAAAAAATTCTGGCACAGCCAGGATTCGATCGCGGTCGTTGGACGGTCTCAAATTGCAAAGTTGATGCTCTAACCAACTGAGCTAACAGGCCTTACGGTAATTGATTGATCTAATCGCTTATGTGTTTAACCAGAATAAAAAGCAAATATATCTTAGTTATTTTAAAATTATTTTAAAAATAATTGTTAAAGATAAATATCTAGGATCTAATTTACAATAATTTAACAATCATATCGATTTTAGTATTAATATGGACATTACATAGATCAAAATAGAAATTATGTGTTTGACATTTTCTGACAGCTACTGCGGAAAGTAGCATATTCTCACTTGGGTGGAAAGTAAATTCTTATTCATACGCGTGTGATATAGGGCACTTTCCATAGGTCTATATAGTGTGATATGTGTCACTTTCCTAAGTGGTCGTAGGAAAAACCAATTTTCCTATTCATTTATCTTATTCTTATATATGTTTGTGTCCTGCTCATGCATTACTTTAAAAGGACCGTTGTATTGGGACAGGAAACTACTGTTTTATCTGCTAAAATGTTAAAATACCGATTTATTTTCTTTGCTTAATGAGGCCCGTGAACCTGGTAAAATTCAGTTTTCTTTTCTTGCGTCTATGTTTAAGAGTAATCTGACAACTACTTTCCTCAAAGTGGATTGGACAATTTCAATTAAGTTTGTCCTTTCTTCGATAAGAATTTACTCATATTTTGTGGCATTCGAAAATATCTCCACTGCGCAGCCCGGCATTTTAAACATTAATTTAGTTCTTCCCTGTTATATATAGGAAAATATAGTCACTACTAACCAAAAACATATAAATTATTAAATTATTTTACACTACTCAATCGAAAAGTGTCAAAATAACTTACAAGTTCGTCCCGCATTACGTCATGCGCGGTTTGAACATATTTTGAATCGAAAGTCAGCATACCTTTAGTATGTGTATCCTGCAACATTTCTATTCTACGCTTATCTCCGCGTAAGTGAATCATCATGTACCGTCGTTTTTTGAATTATTTGTTGGTGTTATTAACAATTTAAAGTGTTTTAGTTATTTAATTTCAAGTTGAAAATGCTACGATGTATCGTGAAAAATTGTATATCCAAATAAAGAAGTGCCAATGTTATAAGAAATATATTCGTTTTAAGCGGTAAATATTTATTATTTTTATTAACGTTCTGACATTTAGCCGCCATGATACTTTGGGCTGAAAACTTCAGATCCGCATTAAGGGGTTTCAATAACTATTAAACATCAAATATTTTTTTGAAAACAGATTTCATGGTAGGACTTACATAATTTTACAAAAGGACAAAATTTTGAACATTTAATTTAAATAAGTAAATTGGCATTCTTGCTAAAGAAATTTTTATTTTAAAAATAAATTTTATAAGAATATTTACTAAAGGTGGTTTTTTTAGCAATTTTTGGTAAATAAATAAGTAGTTGCTAGCGAAATTTTATTTTAATAAGATATTTTTAAAAGAATATTAGATAAAATACAGGATGACCTACTTAAAATTTCAAAGTTCATCTTATTTGTGGTCAAATTGGAAGTGACATTTAAATCTTAAGTCTTAAAACAAAGTAAAACGCACAATATGATCTAGTGTAAGCAAAAAAATACTAAAGTTACGAGAGTTAGTTATATTGTTGATAGAATGTTACAAAATAAACCCCTAAACAACTCGAAAAAAAAGTTGTTTACTAAAAAAATCTAAGCTCTTGCAATATTATTAATTATAACGGGATAAAAAAATCCGAATCTCTAAATTTTGGAGATAAATGCTGGGATAAAAGCAAGCGACCGATTAATAGATTATGCTGTTATTTTTTTTTATGAAAAATCGATTTATCCGTTGTATTAGCAAGTCTAAAAAGGATGGTAGTAGTGGACTGTATCTAGATGAGACTGCTGCTTACATTTGTCTTGATAGCTGTACATGGAGAGCATCTTGAAAGAGTTGGAAAAATAATGCTATTGTATATAAGTAATGCATCTATTGTAATAACCACTGCCAAGAAGCTTCTATACTAGTTTCAATGTAAAAACAATAATTATAATATATTATTGATTACACGATCAGAGGGAGATAAGAGGAGGAGTGTTACCTGTTTCAGGCACCCGGCACCTGTGATTGAGCTCCCTGCCTGCACAATGTAGTAGCGCGTAATAGTTATCCTTCCTCCATGGTAGCGCGAGTTCACTTCACTTCTTTCGATACAGTTTTTCCGGCATGTTCCCAATGAGGCGGGAAGCTCACCACTGTTAGAGAATTTACGTGAGGTCTTTTTACTATTCGCGGGCTGATAATCACTTGACAATTATTGTTCACTGTCTATTTTACTGAGAGGGTGTCGGAGACATTAACTCGGGTTTAGATTTATACGATATTTGTCGCAAGGACGAGAAACTCAGATCATGCCTATTTGAGTGTTAGATACACACTGCACACTGGTCTTTCGCGCGTGGGTATATCTTTTATCTTTTCTCGCGCTAAAACCTTTCGTCTAGCCAATATGAGAGATTGCTTTTGGAGGGACTAACTTATTATTATTATTTAATATGCGTGTTATTTGAAGTATTATAATTATTTATTTGTATTTGTACATTTTTATTATTTACTTTTAGGCGTTGTTTTATTAGTATTCGCATCACGAAGTATAGATATAAGAAAGAGATAAAAGGAGTCCGAACGGTATAGGCTTTTTTGTAGAATTTATGTACATAAATACAGAGCCGCCGAGAGCCAGACCGGGACCCAGGACAATTCTCCAGATCGGGCCCCGCGACAATAATTTTATAGCAAAAATTCGAGTCCGGGCCCCGGGAATTAGTCCCGGCTGCCCCCCCCCCTAGTCGGCCCTGCACAAATATTAAACCCAGATCTTAAATATTCAGGACGTACCGAAAGGCAAATGAGAATTTAGGAAAAGTGGCTTTATTCAAAGCACCGAAAGTGAGTAACCTCTAATAGTATATTACATAACGAGAGTTGTAAGGAGCTTATTACATGCGTGTTATAAAAGTTGCGCGCGAGCCGCATAGCGGCGAGCGCAGTAATTTTATGAGCATGTAATAAGCTTACAACTTTAGTTGTGTACTATACTTTTTCTTCGACTATTTTAATTTATAGAAATAAAAAGCATAACAAGTAACTTTATTTCACAAAATTCTGGAACAATTTAAATTAAATATTTATTTGTAATAATTAATTGTAACATTTTGGCAATTATTTATAACTATTCCCTTACGCGGTGAATGGTGGGATGACGTAAACTGTACGGTGTGTTCTTCAACATTTTGGAAATTATTTTTAACTATTCCCTTAGGCGGTGAATGGTGGGATGACGTAAACTGTACGGTGTGTTGGTATTTTCAGTATATGTAAAGGTTTGTAGATTATTTTCAATTGAATTTATAATTCTATTGGTTGTTGACGTCTTATTATTTATTGACTCATCGACATATCCTTCGGCTGTTGTTGAAGATTTCCATCCGCCATGTCGTTTAAGAGCCATTAGATCACCACCAGCATCAACCAAAAAAGTGGCAGACGTTCGTCTTAAACTGTGACCTGTATACATTTTGGGACCTGGTAACTTTAAATATTCGGCTATTTGTTTTGGAACACCACCTATTTTGTTTATTCCTACCACTTGTTTCGTACATTTACCTTCTTGATAGTTAAGGAAAAATTGATTTATTTGCGGATCGCTAATTTGTTGCCGAATCTCTATATATTGTTTGCAGATTTTATAGAAATTTCCGGAAATTACGAAAGATCTACATACTTTGGTTTTCGTATCAGGGATTTTAACCAATAATATGGTACTTAAATCATCGATATCACTAATTTTAATATTTTTTAATTCTTGTTTCCTACAAGCTCCACATATTCCAACAATTGCAATAACCTTAAAATAAAAGTAATATAAGTATACATTTATGTTATAGGTACTATTAAATAACATACCTTTGTTAATAAATATTGTACATCAGGAGCTTTATTTAAAAAAGTTTTATCTGATCAG